GTGGGTAGGCGAGGATTCACGCTCTGTCCTCAAACAATGTTGGGTCTTCACTGTGCTGAGTAATAGCACTTCATCAACAAGCAGAAGGAAGGAAAAAAGCAGGGGATACTCTAATACATTTTCTGTGGATAACTTCAGTCTCGCTGTAGTTTTGAGGGATTACCTTTTAGTCCATGAGTCATTTGATGCATTATTCTAATAATTCAAACTTGTAAGTGTTTCCCACCTACATACGAAATTTGAATTTAAATAGCAGTGAGGGAGTGGGCTATTCATTCTGGGGAAAAACTATACAATTTAATTACAAATTCTGACTTCTAGTCAGGCTTTGCATGCCATGTACTTGGATTGTAATGCCACGTTTACCTCAAATGCGGTGCATGTCATTAACCGTTTGAATGTGCTCATCTCACGAACAGCACAGAGAAAGGCATGTTCATTGTATAAATTATGGCACAGGTATTCGCTCAATGCCCACCAGCAACCCCACTACTGTTTCTTAATGCTACACACTTGTGATGGACCTGAGCTTGGTGCCAACGCAGTTCACCGGAGTTCACCTAAGCCCGGTCAAAACTGAGTCTGCAGTTCACCGGAGTTCACCTAAGCCCAGTCAAAACTGAGACTGCCACCTCTCCCCCATCCCTGCCTATCCTGGCCCATTTGCAAAAAGGACATTCCTGGCCCCTTTTAAATTTAGCTGTGGGCAGAGAATGTGACTGCTGAAAATTGGCCAGGCGGTGTTGGTCATCATTTTGGGCAGGCTTTGGCATACTGGGTCCACACCATGCACAGCCTCATCACTAGTACACACAAAGACAAATTCTTCATTATAGTAGGCATTAATATATGTTTTTAGATAAAAAGGAATTCTGTATAAATTAAACCAAACCTGTGCTTTGCCCATTTAACAGGTTTGCTTTAAGCCACTGTCCCCAGCAGCTTATGCTTCTCTATCCTTCATGTCCCCACCAATCTGCACTGGTAGCCGAAATAAAGTTCTTGTAGGAATGGAGGAGCATGTGATGGCACAGGGCCAGGCAGGCAAGACCAATACCCTGTGTCAGCTACAACTCTGATGTCTTGTGACTTGTAGGCCTTTCCTTTCATTTCTGGCAGCAGAATGGAGCAGCAGGAATGAGTGAAAGAAAGGTATCTATATGCATCCATGAAGGCCTCCATTAATGGTAACCTATTGACTTACCCTACAAAACACATAATTACTTTAAAATTTTAATACTGTCAGAAGAAGATGGCACAGCTAAATTAGTTGTCCTTTAATAAAGGCTTATGGCAAGTTAAACTAAGGACTCAAGTCAACATGCCAATCTGCATTTAAACATTTCCACATTTAGCCGATGTCGGACACAATGTTTACATGAGTTACTGCAAGGATTACATGTGTTGGCATGCACTGACACTTATGAGATCAAAGGGTACTTGGAAAATGGTTGTCATGGTAATTTTTGTTCTTCTGACAGCAAAGTGTTAAACCCAGTTGTCCATGTGCATTAACATACTGAGCATACAGCTCTGTAGTGTTGAATATAAATATGTCAAACAGCCTCTAAATAAGAGGCCAAGTGATAATGCTCTTCAGTATTAACCCTGAAGCAAGTGCTAACTAATGTAAACTAACATTTAATGGGAATCTATTAATGTAGCAGTAGCATACTATTACTGAGATATCTGGTGCCCCATGTGCTGTTCACACTTGGAGAAAGTGGGATAAAACAGTTAAATCTTTAGAAGTGGTTATTAAAGCAATTTCTAGTTCAAAGAATGGTTAAAGGAAAGCAAACTGGAAGGTGACTATATATCTGATTTTCGCAGTGTGGTTGGTTGCTGTGGGCAGTACCTCCTACTTGTTTTAATCTTGATGAATGTCCCCATAAGCGCTGTAAATATGAGGGCCAAAACTGAGTTTTAATTCTAAGATTATATTAGTATGTATATCGGATTGTGGATCTGGCGTGAATTCTAAAACAAAAAATTATCTATTTGACATGCTCTACAAACCAGGCTCTAAAACTAATATTGTTCGACCCTGAAGCCACCATGTGCATCCCACAGCACAACTTTTATTAAGCAAAAAAGACATATACTTCTGAAAAAAAACATGGCATGTATACACAAACAATACATAAATAAACCTCTCTCCCCATACCCCCACGCTCCATGACAAAGGCATCTCAGGGTGAAGGACATATATTATGCATTGTCAATCACACACAAACTAAGAGTAAGGCCACTAAAGTAGACACAGTGGGTGCCCCTGTCGGCATACCCTGGATAAAAGTGGATGACAACTTAACAGCTCCTGAACAGGAGTCTTTGGATGCATTACAAAGCAACCAATGTATAGAAATAAAATGATCAGACAAAGAATGAATATTGTTGTACTTGAGAAATCCAATTAAGAAAGATCCTCAAAATCAATATAGAAGCAGTTCAAAAGGTTCTGTTCAGCACCATTAATTATGCTTTTGAAGAAAATATCATACCCTTAAGGTTATCCACCTGAGGATACGCATCTTCTATGGATTACCCAAAGTGCATAAATCTGTCAGGGACCTTTCAAGTAGACTGATCATTTCAGGTTAGGGGTCCCTGAACGAGAACGAGTAGTAGAATAAATTACTGCTTTTGTATTTCTGTGATGCTGGTCTCCTCCAGCTCTTTTCGGTCATTTCTTCTCTACATACACTCACTCCAGTGTACTTTACACATTGTTCCTCTGGAATAGTTTAGTGATGTTGGCCCATGAAATGTGTGTTGGCTTGCCTCTTGTAGTCTCTGCTAATCTCTAACAGATTGACCATGTAGAACCACAATTAGAAGACAGTTGTCACCCCATAACAGAGTACCCGAACAAGGACCTTATTGTTTGTATTACTAATCATTCTTCTAATGAAAGATGCTGATTCAAAAAGATTAAAAACAACCTTTAATGACATTAACATGTAAAGCTTATATGAGATTTTAGTGATTGGGTTTAGATCTGCTTTATTTGTGTTGCTATTGTATCACCTTGACCAACCATGCACAATATGTTTTTTGTGTCCCGTGAATGAACCATTTGCAAAAGAGAAGTAGTAAATTAAAGAATACTTTGTCAACAATAATAATTGATGCAACAGCTCAGAAAATGAGCAGGCTGCTGTGATCTTTGGATTTCAACACTAAACTCCAATAACTGTTGACTGCTGGCAATATTTACCTGAATTTTTGTGTTCACTGTTAACCCTTATTTTATTGTTTGCATTTAACAGAGTCTATGTTTTTATGGAAGTGCCTTTGTTTTATACCTCATTGCTGCTGTGATAGATGCAACTTCAATTACCAAAGAAATTCTTGATGATCACAACTACAATAGTTGGACGGCGTCTGCGGTGAGTTTTGCTGCTTTTGTAGTCTGTGTAATTAAAAAATTTAAATGTAAAAAAAGGGGGGCACAACCCATGTATGACATGTGAGGGACCATAGTGAGTTCTGTCCATGTCAAAACTTTCCGCTCATAATCCTGCATACATTTTGAGGTGATACCCTTCTGTTCTAAATTAGGAGATCTACAGATATACACCATATAACAACATGGTCAAAACTGGCCTACCTCCAGTGCCTCCGGCAATGAGGGCTCTGCAGAACCATCACAAAAAAAATGGTGGCAATCCAACAGTTCCAGAACACTTTGACTATGCAGATTTGAAACTGTGAGAATAGATATTTTCTTAATAACCCCCTCCATACTGCTGTATTGTGAAAAACAGAGATGGATGTGTATTTCTGGAGCACTGTGAATGAGTGTGTCCATTAATGGCTGTGATCTGAGTTGTCATTGGACTGTCGTTTGGATTGTTGTGACCACCCACAGCATCACACAATGTAAACAATGGATGCTGTTAGCAGCCGGCTCTCCTCTCCCAGTTGGTGTGTGAGCAGTGGTTCTCTACCTGTGGGTCGCGACCCCATCGGGGGTCGAATGCCGATTTGCCAGGGGTCGCCCGGGAGTCTCCTACCATTAGATAGAAACACTTTCTCCCGGAAAGGTTTACTCTGCTTGATCAAGCAGAGTAAACCTTTCCCTGTGATCGTTTTTTTTTTCTGACATCGGGGGCCGCCGTAAGTCAGGGAAAAAAAACCCACTATAGGAATGCATAGCTAGATTCCTATTGGCTATTTCACTTTGCAATAGCCAATAGCTAACTAGCTATTGCACCCGCCATCTGCTGCTGCCAATCAGCAGAGGGGGACCTGCAGTTCTCCATCAGATCCTCTTCTAGTGATTGACAGCAGCAGAGGGTGGGTGCAATAGCTAATTTGCTATTGCAAAGTGAAATAGCCAATAGGAATCTAGCTATGCATTCCTATGGTAAAAAAAATGTATATTAATATTCTGATGGCGTACGCATATTCTGATGGCGTACGCCAGTGGTTTTCAACCTGTGGGTCGCTGTGTGATTTCTGTTGTGCTAGGTGAGATTCCTCCTCAGCCCTCTCCGAGCGCAGCAGTGTCAGTTCTCCCGCCACGTGGCCAGATGTCGCTGCAGCAGCCGCGCCATCCCTACATTTTACCGTTGGGGGTCACCACAACTTGGCAAATGTTACAAAGTGGTCGCGCCCTAGAAAGGTTGAGAACCACTGCCGTAGAGAATTCAGATTCGGGTCTAACTTTAACTGGGTGAAATTACTTTACAGCGAAATGAAAGCCAGACTAAGAATGAATATGCTTGTAACAGACCTCTTAATACATAAGGCTCGAGACCTTTCTCTCCACTTATTTTCACTTTAGCTATAGGGAATTTTGCTTAAATAATTTGTACAACGTTACGAATTCTGGGGTGAAACCTCTGTTTGCTGGACAAGCGTGTGTGCCTATATGTGGACAATAGTATTGTGTGTTTGGGCATTCCTCACTCCTCTTTGACTAACCTACTGGATATTATTGGTAACTTTTCTGGATTTGGATTTAAAGTTAACAATGAGAAATCTGTTATCTTCCCAGTTGGTATCACTCAAACCCCATTACCCATCCAGTGTGACCAGAAGATCACAATTTGTTTAAAATATCTGGCCATAGGAATTAAACTTCTCATCTTTTGGTACTTTGACAACTATTAACTCTTTCATTTGTACAATCTCTAAATTGTACAAATGGCTTAATTGTATACATGCCTACATTTTTTATATGTACTTGCTAATGCCCCAGTATTTTTATACCATTTGGAAATTGTCTTGGCATTAGTTTCCCTAATATTTTTCTACACTTGAGGACAGTCTACTCCACGATAATCACTTCACTCTAGTATGGAACTCTACAGTACAGCTTATTGTGAGTTGGCCCTTCCGAATCCATATCTATATTGAAAGCTTCTTAATTAGTTTATCTTTTATGGTGAATGAATGTGGCCACTACAGCGTTGGGAAACTGCAGTCACGTCCAAGTGATTATATCTATTGGCAGCCCCTATACACTATCAATGGTACAACAATATTATCTACCACCTCAAAATATTTAAACAAGCATCAAAAGTACTGGGAATCCCTACGCTAACTCTCTCTCTCTCCTAATAAAACTGTGTGGGGTAATCCTCAATTTCTTGACATAAAGATTTGAAGGGGAACCTGGGAGTTGAGCATGAACTGTACAATTACAATACCTTTTTTTAAAAGCTACCTGCAACTACCAGAATACAGGTGAAACTCGAATAATTAGAATATCATGCAAAAGTAATTGCAGTAAGTGCTGCAAAAGGGGCCCAAACCAAGTACTGAGTACATATGCATGCTTGTACTTTTCAGAGGTCCGATATTGTTCTATGTACAATCCTTGTTTTATTGATTGCATGTAATAATCTACTTTTTTGAGGTTGTGGATTTGGGGTTCTTGGGGTTTTCATGAGCTGTAAGCCATAATCATCACAATTATGACAAATCACGGCTTGAATTATCTTGCTTTGTATGCAATGAGTCTATCTCATATATTAGTTTCACCTTTTAAGTTGCATTAGTGAAATAAATGAACTTTGCACGATATTCTAATCGAGTTTCACCTGTAGTACTCTAAAACCACAACCGTGGTTTTAAAATGCCTCCAACTCCTTCCTGCTGCTCATGCCCATTTCAGCTTTGGAGAAGTTCCCATTCAAACTGTAATCGTCATCAAAGGTAACAAGAGGTTTACCTCCAACTACTATGCAAAATTGCTTGCAGTGAAATATTCAAAACTTGATCATCTCAAACCCAAATGGATAGATGATTTACGTAATCTGATAGAATCAGTACAGAAGGAGGCTTTAGAGACCTATTGATCCAGACATCTCCTCCAGAGATAAAATGATACACATGGGGAAATTGTCAGCAATCTTTACCTCAAATATCATTCAGAAATTAGGAATTTCCTCCACATGCCATGGGGTTGCCCTAAACTTGGACTGTTTAGGTCACGGGTTTTATTTCACAACTACTTGATATTTTGAATAGTTGCTATCCTACAGTATGCCTGTTGGGTGTCCTATCTGACTACCCTGTAGATAATGCATACAAGGCACTTATGTGACTACTCCTCTTTGATTGCAATTCAGTAGAAACGTCCCTACACCCCTGATTTAAAGGAATGTATTAGCCTTATAAACATCCCACAGACTAACATATTAGGCCATAGGCAGTCTACAGAAATTCACTGGGATCTGGGATACCTGTATTGGACCCCAAATCACTCGTGCTCCTATATAGTCCATGACCCCCACCATTGTAGCAGTCTAAGTATGGGAATTGGTTGAAAGAGCATTTCCTGTGAAGGCCCCAAACATGGCATTCCAAATCTTATCATTCACCATGCTAACAGAAAAACAGACTCCTTTCATATTTGACAAAATGGTTTATTATGCACACAGGAGTTGGCAAATGCTGTTTTTTTTGTCATTTGTATTATTAAATAATAAAAACTTGTATTGAGATGATGACATATCTTTAGACAAGTTTGTAACTAACGACAGAACACGCATGAAATGTGACCTGCATAATCTTTTACTTGTCTACCGATCTGCTGCCATTTCAACTAAATTGTATCACAGTCTTTGATGTAACAACTTGTTATTATGTGACCCCTGTAAACACTGGTAGTCTGTTTTCAAGATTTAAAAAAATTTAGATAGAAAGTGAAGCAAAGTTTTTGTCTGACTTCATTATCGGTAACTGGCGGGCTACGGTTGATATTATACATGCTGTTAAGCTGACGGCACTGTCCTCTTCACAGCACATAAAATGCAAGTTAATATACTTTCAAATCAGTCAAATGTAAAATAAATGCAGATGTATATCCATAAACATATATCCAAAGTTCAGATCAACAAGCATTTCTGCTAGAGCAATAATATGCATAATTGCATGATATTTTGTATATTCATAGATCAGTATTGACAAGGTTGGTGGTGGACCAAGCTGGTAAACTAGAACACAAGGTTTTTGCCAAGAGCTAAAGGTCACAGCTGGTTAAAATTCATGCATCTTAAAAATAAAACCCTACAAGAAAAAACCTACAATAGTCTATTACCTGTATTTAGAGTAGAGTGATGGAGATGAGGAAGTTATAAAAATATCACTTTTATGTCATACCTCCCAACTGTTCCTCATTTGGAACCAAATACCTCAGCCCCTCTTTCCTCTTCAATTGTCCCCCTTTTTGGACAGATGTGTAGACCTCTATAATAAATGACATGCTTAACAACCAAGAGTATTACACTAAACTAAACCTTTCACACAAACCTTTCTATTATCAAATTATTTTAAAAAGCCAGTATAACAGAAACCTAGTAATGAATAAAGCACTTGCGTTATTTACTAGATCCAATTCTTTGTAGACCACCTCATGCCTTCAAAAAGTGGTGTGCTTTGATCTACAATTAGTGACTCACTCTGGCTCGCCACCCCCTGGACCTTCCCATTGCCCTATAATTGTGATGGCAGCCTCAATAGCCAACTTTAAGGTGTTAGAATACAAGTCCAGCTGTGTCCAAAAGTTTATTGTTTAGGACAAACTTTTCAAAAGGGAAATATGTAGGCTGTATTGCTTACCCCTTCTGAAAATGCTAGCTGTATTGAGTCACTGATCTGCGGACAAGTACAGTGTACACATTAAGTGAGATCAGAACTCCAATTCTGCATATACATAGTTAGTCAGATTGAAAAAAGACAAATGTCCATAGAGTTCAACCTATGGAGATATGAAAAAAAAGCCTAAACAGAACGCTATGCCCACAATTAGCCACTGTTGATCCAGAGGAAGGCAAAAAAAACACTATAAAGCATGGTTCAATTTGCACCAAAGGGAAAAAAAATTCCTTCCTGATTCCATAAGGCAATCGGATATTCCCTGGATCAACAATCTCTGATGCTTAATATACCTAATAAGAACTCAATATCCAGTAATAAATGTTCTAAGTATGTTACTCCTAAGTCTGTTACTCTAAAGGTATTGCTGCTAATGGATAAAAATGGATTCCCAGAAAATCAGCATTGATTATATATATATATATATATATATATAATGTGTGTGTACACACACACATACACATATAATCCCTTTTTTTTGTGTGGCGATTTGTTATATGCATATTGTTTTAACAAAGTAGAGCTTTTATCTAAGAAATCCCTGTTTTTATCTCCTTTCAGTTCTTTGCATTTCTGGTCACCGCATGTTACGCTGCAAGCACCTATTTCAGTTTCCGCTCCTGGAGAATAAGAATACGGAGTTAACAGTCTCACGACCGTCCAGATTACAAACTGCATGCAGCCACAGTTTGTACAAGGAGTACTTTAACCTCATTTTGGCTGGGTAATATTTAGGGTTTTAGATTTACTGTGTAGTTGTTAATATACAGAGGAAGGAATTTGAGTACATAAATATTTTGCAATGCCGATTTCCTAAAGTAAAAGGGAATTTGTAGGATGGATGTCTGTTTTCAGTTCTGTACTCTGTCACATAATGTGAAAAATGATTTTGTTCAAAATATATATTGTGCCACAAAAAGCTGTAATAAAAGAACTGGGAAAATATGCTGCCACTTGTTTTTCTGCCATGAATGTGCTCATTACATATTATTTGCTTCAGTTTTATTAGGAAGTTTATGGCGGAGAGTTTGGCACTACAACTGCAAAGGCAAACCCTTTTCCTATTCCAATGATGGGGAAACAAATATTCTGCTTCTGCCCTTTGTCATTTTTGTTGGTTTTGAAAAGCAAGTATAATCTATTGAACATATATGTTCAATATAGTTAAAGTGAACCTTCCAGGTTGTTCTGAATGACTAAGCTAACAGTGAAGGCCTTGTGGTACCACCAAGCATCTTTTCTAATCAGTTTTCTGTATCACGCTTTTTAAACATTTTTATTCTGACTCTGATTGTTGTATTAGTGATTTATCCCTTGTTGAGACCTCTATGCCTGGCCTGTATAAGCAGATATAATCACTATGGACAATCCTTATCAGATAGCTGAACTCACCAAATACCTTTTCATCCACGAAGAGCTCTATTGCATGCAGCAGGTTATTTACAGCAGACAACAGGATACATCAGCTGAATGAATAGACCGTATTTGAAGGTCTGAGATCGTAATGTTTCCAAGCATGCATTGCAGATTAACATGTGGTCATGTTACTGTCTGCCATGACAATAGACTAGTGGAGAAGAAGGGCGGTACATAACACACAAGGGAAATACATAATAGCTAGGAGGGAACATAGAAAAATAATCCAGAATGACCACAAGATGTCAGTATATGAATTGGCCATACAATATCAGTGAGCAAATGGCTTAAAGTGACATTAAACCCTCAGATTTTTTAACATAAAACAATACTGTAATGTGTGCCTTACTGTAATCCATGGTGGTTTCCCTTCTCTTTGCTGCTCTTCCTTTTTAAATCCTCATCTCTTCTCATGCTGGGCAGAACTTCTGTTTTGCAACAGACTGCCTTGTCTCTGGAATGGATACATGGTGTCTGTGTGAAGGTTCACAACCTGAGTCAGCACTACAGGAAGAGGCACTCAGCTGCAAAGGGAAGTTCTCCCCAAGCATGAGAAGAGATACAGATTTAAAAGGAAGAGCAGCAAAGAGAAGGGAAACTACCATGGATTACAGTAAGGCACACATTACAGTATTGGTTTATGTTAAAAACTCTGAGGGTTTAATGTCACTTTAAGGAAAGTAAACTATATAAATTCTCATCTCACATTATTGTGAATATTGACTATGAATTGTCATATTTTATACAACTATTGTGACAGCACACATTTGTTATAAGAAATGTATAGTAGTGTGATAGCAGTGATTCCTTGAGTGATAGTGAAAGTCGCCCTACACAATAATTCTCCTCTCTCTCGTCTCCCTCACACCAACCACAAAGGTACAGTACCTGTAATTGTTTATTTTTCTTTATATTTTGTACAGTATTATATTACAGTACAGTATTGTAATCATTTTATATGAATATTTTTGGGTTGTGGAACGAATCATCTGAGTTTCCATTATTTCCTATGGGGAAATTCGCTTTTAATATACAAGCGCTTTGGATTACAAGCATGCTTCCGGAACGAATTATGCTCTTAAACCAAGGTATCACTGTACATAGTTTTGCTTTTTTATGGTCAGGACTAAAATATTTTTTGAGACAAATATGAAACATTGCATGCCAATATTATCTGGTCTTGTATCTAGCCAGCAGGTAGAGCTCAAAGTTCCCTTTAAGTGTTTTCTCTATAACACTTAGACGAAATAATGAAAAATCCAAAACGAAACGTACCAAAACAAATCTTTTACCGGCGCACATGTCTAGTGAGTTATGAAATGCCAATAGTGACCTGCCCATGTGTTGCCAGCTCTGTCCACCTCTCCCGCTTTTTCCTACTCAATATTGATCCATCACCTTGGTCGGTATGTCTAACCAATAGTGCAGAAACCGTGATTTACAGAAACTCTGTATGTAAAACTCTGTAATCTATTCATTAATTATGCATACAATGGACAAGAAAGAAGGGAATGGAAACTATCTGCTAAATCCTCTATGTATGCTTTGGTAGTTTCTATTGCCCTGTCTGAGCTCATGAAAGTACAAATCATTCTTGATACAGCTAAAACAAAAGCCAGATTGGGCATCTGCTTCCCTAATGTGTAGAATGATTTGTATTGTCCTTATGAATTCCAGCTGGGTAGAAATAAAAGCCATACACACATACATGTAAAGTGCAACAGATTCCTCCATCTACGCTAAACTGTGTGGATGGTGGAATCTCCCACATGGCCAAGTTTCACTATCTTAAGGGTTGGCCCTGCTGGCTCTCAAAATATCTGTACAATGCCTGCATCCAATCAGACCATAGGCTGATAGAAAACAAATCTATAGGTGTATGGCCAGCAGCTTTAGCAAAAGAAGGGAAGAAATATAAGGATGTAAGAATGATGCAGAACACAAGAAAAAATTTGCAGATATAGATGCAGGGAATAGAAAGGAAGAACAAATCATTTTTTCTTAGCAAAAATTGTACTTTTCAAGTAATATATTATTGATACACGCACATCATAATTTTCTTTTAATATGCTTCTCTTTTATTTATCATATTTAAAAAAAACAACTAATTTTAAAAGAAGTATTTTTGTGGGTATTATCTCAACATAGCATCAGTACATTAAAAAAATTCCTTCCCAATCCGCTATTTCTTTGTTACCCCACCAATCAGCTGAACTGTCCACTACACCATTGTTCCACCAGTCATCTACTTCTTTCAAATGGTGATTTCTTTGATGGGGCAGGAGCAGTGACTTACACATTTCGCAGTGATAGTCGCTGTTTCTTCTGGAAAGTGTGAAGGATGTTAATTTGCATGTGTGACCTAAAACATCACCAAGACGTATTCCGCCAGAAACAACCATCCATAAAAGTAGATCAGATATATGCAGGATGTAACCCCTTATTTCTCATGTCTCCCTTATGTAATAAATCTTCATTGTTGGTATGGGAGGATTTTTTTATCATTTGGATGGCTTATTTTGCCATATTTTACAGGATACCTGTTATCATGATAGTTCTCACTCAGGACTGTGTTTTACCTTGTATTGGTTTATCAAGTAGCTGTGGACATAGTCACCAGTCTCCTGCCCCAGTTATTCATGACAAGGTATGTGCCCAGTTCATACATCTCCTGGAACAATTCCCATCTTATGTCCTTGTCCCTAAGTAAAGCCCAACATGGGTATCTCCTAGTCTCCAATATTGCAAATGGGCGGGGTAGAGGCCCACCGCAGACACCATCCTACCCCCTTCCCCCATCACTCTTTGCAATATTTGAGACTAGGAGATTCATTTGAACAGGCTGCCTAACACATGAAAAAAGGTGCATGATGCATTATCAGTAGCACAGATCAAGGCACCACACATTGGTGCGTCACAGTGTGAATGTGGCCTTACACCTTAATATTTTGTGTGCAAAAGGTTTATATGGTACACACAGAACCAAACACCCATCAAGGTACAATACAGGTTGCAATGGGGCTACCCATGTAGATGACCAAATACAACATCATTTATGGTGCATTTAGCTTCCATTTTTTCAGGGATGTGTCTGCTCCAACAATGCAAGGACTGCAAGCTCCCCTGCCGGCGTCAACATCTTCTCCTTTCCGTTCTCCGGGTGCAGGGTCTTTGATCCTCTTGATTGGCTGGCTCAGAATGATGTAAACTTTGTTTTAAGTTTTGATGAAAATAAATGTATATGTACACAACCTCCTAGCTTGCAAACGCTGATGGGTGCTCATGCATACACAGGATTCTAATAAGAGAGCAAGGCCGAGAGATACAGTATTTCTTTCTTGGCTGTTGTTGCTTATAATCTTTATGACTAGACATAACTACCCCATCCATAAACGTTTGCTTTCAGAAATCAATGGTAAAAAGCGTCACTCCCGTGATCATGTGATTAGCACTGTCACAGGGGAGAAGGCCACATGCTTCTCCATACTCTGAATTTTTCAAGGGTCTATTATAATTACTTAGCTCAGACAGGAGATTGGACAGCCTGTATTTTTATTGTGTATGTCCATGTGTGTATTACACATGATGATGCACCTTTTGATACATCTTCATGCATTTTGCAGCGAAATGTATACAGATGTTTGAAAAACAAATGCACAAATAAATACACACACAATAAAAATGAAAACCACAGAAAGCACTTAGTTGTGGACAAAGTATCTCAGGAGCCTGGCTGATGTAAATGAATGTTGCTTGATATTTTTGACCTGTATAAGCTGAGGTCAATTGCATTCCAGTAAGTGCATTTAAAGGAGAACTACGAGGTGAGTGAAAATCGCTCACCCTCTTACCCCCCCCCCCCCCTGCTGACTGGAGGAACGGACAGGGGAGGGGGCGATTACACTGGCTCTGCCTCTAGATAGGCAGAGCCGGCTGTAATTCACGCAGCTGGGTGGATCCTGACAGCATTGTCGGGATCCATCCTGGTTGCGGCGATCTCAGTATACTGTGAGCTGTAGCTCGCTATATACTGAGCTTTGGGTCACGGGAGGACGCTAGTATATGTCCTTCCGTGACCCTTAAGAGATTTATGGGGAAAAACACTGACCCCCATAGTTCTCCTTTAATGTCAAATATATGATTCCTTGTCAACTTCTGAGCATCACTGAATATTGCAGAGAGACTGCTATGAATTTACTGGACCCTGGTAAAAACCATGTAAGTCCTGTGCAGGATCATATCAGGATTTTAGGTTAATTAAAGAAGTATTAAACTCTCAAACCTTTTTTCAAGAATGAATCCAGATTAAACAAATATACATTGCCCAGCAAAGTGTTTCTTTAAATATTTGCCCAAACACTTAGTCATCATGTTTCTGAACAGTTGGTTCCTACTCTCTCAGCTTGGCTTCCCTGAACTTCCTGTCCAGTACAAGATCACAGTGCAGTCTCCAGCAGCCGTCCATCTACTAGCTTGTGGAAGTGAGGAGGAAGTGGAGGGGAGAAGGGGAGTGGTTTGCCTTG